AAACAATGCGCTGCTTAACTAAATGTCCATTAAGAAAATGTTCAATTTTCGATTTAAGGATTTCTACGCACTATTTTTTACGATTTCACCATTTTAGAAACTGCGATTCACTTATTCCCTATGTTGTTATCGGTTTAAAATGGCAATTCACACTATTTACACTTTCGATAAAATTTTATCCTGAAATACAGGACCTGCCACCTGAATAATTTTAATTAAACACGAGCGTGACAATTCGACCCAATTAATCTCATGTAAAAATTAAACATGAATGATATACTATGCATATTTTAGATGTACGCAAATTTACTTTAAATAAGGAATAAAAAGCAATGTAAATGTAATTAAACTTTCTTTAAAAAAACACAATTATTGCACAAGTAGGTGCCGCTTCGTCAACTTGTTCCAATCCCCAAGTTAATGTTTATACTAATACTAAAGAAAGCGGGACTATAATTGCGTCATAAGAAGTGGATTCTCAGTAGTAAAGCGATTTATTCAAGTATACTTTGCTTAAATGTCTACTGTTTAATGCCAACTATTTAGTAGCGATATGGTGTAGTTGAATGGCATGACACTTAGATTTGTAATCTCAACTTTAAAATGAACCATGGCTCTTACAAAGTTGTTAACAAGCTACATACAAGTTTTAATACATTGTCAACGTAACGTTATGCTTTCTATACACGTTTAGGTTTACTTTGATTGGAAACTGCCTACACGAAAACCTACAAGCATTCGTGCATCCCGTGGTATTCCCTGTTCTAATTAAGGAGCTAAACAAAGAGGTCCTCTTACAAAATTTATTTAAAAAACGAGAAAGATGAGACTTTTTAATTAGCTGACTGCGAGTAATCAGCTACTGATACGGACCCTGCGACCTGTGAATAAAAATGTCAAAGTGTGAAAATTAGGGGACTTTCTACACGTCCATATTTCACAGGAGCAAAGCGTTAATTAAGTCATTTTATAGAGATTTATGCTCATAAATTAATTAGTCAAATACTCTTTTAGCGCAAAAATTCAATCAAAATCAAATATAGCCTCTCTGAATTTAATATACTCCTTTAGTTTATAAAATAATTTATTTAATATAAATGTTTATAGAAAAAGTCCTTACGAAGTATAAGATAAAAATTTCTGATAATAAAACAGAATTTGGAAAAGTTCGCCGAATGCTGGCTGCATTTCTACGCTGAATTGCAAGAGAAATCCTTTCAAGCAAATATTGTTTGAATTTCAATTCAACGATTTCGGAAATTTGTCAGTTACCAATTATATTTAAGTCGATGGCTTCTTTGTATATTTGTTGTTTCATTTTGCAAGCAATTTCAATCGCAGTACCTGACACTTCTCAAGTTTTCAACACATAACTATCTGCAAGAATATTAACCTGACACTTCTCAAGTTTTCAACACATAACTATCTGCAAGAATATCTACCACAGTAACATCCCAAACTAAAGCTTGAACTATAAACCATGGAACCAGTCATAGCGATTAATTAGCGGTTAATTATAGAATTAATTTCAGTGTGTCTTGAAAATCAACCACTGCTTTTTGGGAAACTTCTGCATTGCATTTGCAAATATGAGGTGTACAAAGATTGCTTACCCAATCTTAAGCCAATGGAAACTTGAAGAGAAGTACAGAGCGATCATAATCATTGCCTGTGCATATCTCATGAAACCTGACATTTGCCGCAACACAAATGATACTGGAGCTTAAAAAGGAATCATGTAAATAACGTTTATTAGTGTCCAAATTATTTGAAGTTACATAGCAAATATTATTTTTTTCTACAACTGTCAAAAAAACCTGTCATTTTCTGACGGATTTTGAAACGCGAAGTACTAGATTTTTAAACTGTTAATTAATAAGTAAGGTTGCTATTGACAACGTGCGCGAAATCGTCAACAGTGAAAAAAAGTATTTCGCGCACGTGACAAAGTTGAACTTAAACAGCAAATTTAATTAACAATCGGTTCAGTTGTAGAAAAAATATTGTATATAACGCTAGCGCGAAGTTACTTCGCGCATTTGACTGATATTTTGACTCGGCTTCGCCTCGTCAAAATACCTTCAGTCTCAATGCGCGAAATTGAACTTCGCGCTCTTGTTATATAAATAACTATTTTTAGATGACCAAACAAAAAGCAATCCAAGGGCGTTAAATCAGGTGATCTTGGCGGTCAACGGTTTCTTCTAACAATTCGGTCATCAAAATACTGTTAAAAATGTTTCACCATTCGGTAGTTTTGGGAATTAATGTATCCACTAAAATGAAAACAAACCACAAGGAACACTTCCTGTACCGTCAAATCGCTTTACTACACGAAGAATATGGCGGCGTAAGTTCTCGTAATCAACGACATGTTCAATTCAGGATATGCCTCTCGAAATCATGCACAAGCGAGCCGAATACGTCCAAACTCCGTTTCCGTCTTTACTCCCATTACGGAAAGAGGACTGCATTTTCTTCCAAAGTAAGAGGCATGTGGCAGTTCCCGAACCTAAAGCCATTAAACATGAATTTCTGATTTTAAATGTAATTTACCCACCTTGTAATTATTCGTTGCAAATTGGTAGCCTTGGCAAACACTGTTTTGTAAAACGAAAGCATAATGTAGACAAATGGGTGTGGAAATAAATGGGGAGGTGACAGAAGGATTAGATTTAGAGGTTATGTTTAGTATTGGTTCAGCATGAAATGGTTCATAAATCATGTTTCATAAGAGCGGTACAGGCAATGATTAATGATCCAAGAATGTACCAATATTGTGGGAAGATATTGAATTTATTTTTTAAAAAATTGAAAATTGTAAATGATTTTGTTGTCAATCATACACACAATTCGCCTAAATCTGCGCGTTATTATGCGAATAAGAGCCATTTTACTTCTGTGAGTAGTATCTTTTTAAATTTTATCATTTAGTTTCCAAGATTATTCTACTTAGAAGCTGCAACTCCTACTGTTTTTGCATTCATTTTGTAATTAATATACTAGTCACTTACTATTTGTAGAGTTTTTTTCGAATATGAAGATTTATAATATTTTTTTGCATGATTATGCTGTTTAGTAATTATGCGATGTTGTGTGTGCGTAGGGTCCCATGTTGGGGCTGTGAATGCTCGTATGCGGTGGGGGGGGGGGGGTTTATATAGGTTAATTAGGTTGCAAAGATTAAGGGTTTTTGTTTTTTTAAAATTTATTTATTTATTGTCCCTCTCTTGTTCTGACCCCTCAACAGGCTTTCGCCCAATTACGAGAGACCCACATAATAAAAATTTATGAATGAGATGCATTGAATTTTTGGGTATCTAGTGAATTGTTGAACATTTCGTTGATTGTGGTAAGGTGTTTGTTATTGGGGTGTAACAAACGAAATGGCATACAGCCTGTCAATTACAAATAACGCGTCCCTATCGGAGACCCCACTAATTAACTGTGTCCCTATTGGCAAACCTATACTATAGGGTTTTTATCTGACAAAGAGCTGTTACAAGGATTTGTATGATACATATTTGTACTACCGAGGAAATTAAATCAATTTATTAAAATCACGTAAAAAATGAGCACAGATGTTGTTACAATTTAGTTAGCCTGTGGCAACACATGTTCTAATAACCTCCGAAACACTAGCGCTTAAAACTTGTAAAGGCAATTTACAAGACATAACTTTGGATCGATCTGGATTTATGCGATTATCGGTTAATTTAGGCAAAGCTCTTACATGATCGCTTTTTTATCGATATGGTTTCTGTCCGCGATATCTCATAAAATAACTTGTTTGTTCTTATAGAGAAAGTCTCCTTTGTTAGATAGTTTCTAACATTCTTAAATAAGTGCGGAACATCAAAAATTGAACAGATTTTATGGATCCAACATAAAAATATGGTGTCTCTACAGTACACCAAACCTGCTTTATAACTTGTAGATTATTCGAGCCTTGATCACATATAGCTGACTGTACGACTAATCCTGTTTCGAATACGATGGATATCACCTTCACAAGAATTTTGCTTAATGCTTCAGTAGGTACGCCGCATTTTGAAGTAAAGTATGCCACAGGTACTTTAGGTTACAAAATTAATCAATGGCTCCAGTCGATGTAATTTTCCTGCTTGATGTTCTACGGGCGTTTGTAATAATCTCTGGATACCGTTCAATTGTATCACTTACCCTTGGGGTCTATCATCGTCTTCATATCTACGTAACTGCAAAGTAGTTTGCTCATCCTTTGTAGTACGGGCTGGCGATATCTTGCCTGGTGAGGACGAAATTTCCCTAGTGCTGTGGGGATTTTTTGTGTTTTCTTAGAAATCCGTCATATATTCTTACTAATTTAAAAATGAAAGCAAATCCAACCTTTTTTTCTGCAATATTTCAGTTTACCGTATTAGATTATACGTTTCTTTATAAAAAATTATGCTAAATACTGGTCAAAATACTAAACCTCTCCCTCCAGTTGTAAAAGCAAACTTAGAACAACTTGTATGTTCACACGTAGAGTAACGAATAAAAGATCACGACGAAGCAAATGGCAGGTTGTACATACCACATTTTATATTAAAACCTATTTAAAAATTAGTTAACATTAACATTTATCGCAACGTCCAAATTGTCCCTCCTTTTTCGAAAGGAATGTCAGAGAAAAATGTTCATTAAAACAAAAACGTGGAAAATTTAAGATCGTTACAATTGAAACCTTATTATGCTGTGCAGGAAAAGGGTATTTTATAAAACGATTAGAGATATTAAAATTCCTATCGTGTTTTTCTCTATAGGAGTTTTATAAATTAAATGAAATGATCCCCACTAAATTAATAACGAGAAAACGCCGCCGCTCTACGGTTCAAATGAAATCCATTAATTGATCTACCTAAAATTAGTAAAACTCCATTCATTCATTCCATTTTAAATTGTATAAAACACAATTTTCTCGTCTGTCGCATGTCTACCGTTCAAATTTATGTATATCAGTCGCGTTTATTTTACAGATGATAATTCGAGCATAAGTATTCTTCCATTGGCTGCACTCCTAACTGGATCGCTACTTACGTTGGGATTAGCGGTCTTACTTGTTATTGTCTTGGCAGTGAGAAGAAGTCGACATAGGCATTGTGCCAGATCACATTGCGGTCATCAACTGGAAATTTCTAAAGCTCCCAAAATGACTCCGCAAGCTTCCAGAACTAATTCCATGTTAGAAATTAACACCGGAGATCAAAGATACGTCGTTGCGTATACGTTAAAGCCAGCCTCGGACTGCGTAAATCAACCGCCCCTCTCTGTACCGATCGATCATCAACCGGACATTCTCAATACTCCTAGAGGTAACTCCACTAAACATACCTTAATTGGTATTGACATTTCTAAATCAGGCGCGGATTCAGGTACCCCTCCAAGTGCCGGAGGCCCACTACCAAGACCCGACGCACTTTTCACACCAACGATGGAACGAAGCAGACCTAACGCCATGTTTAATAGCTATGTAAGTTTAACTATCGACAATTAAAGTTTAAGTACTGTATTTTGCGTTTTACAGTGCCACGCAGAATTAACCTTATCTCCGGAAACGTGCGCCATTCAAACCGCTACAATAGGCAGACCGCGTGGACGACCAAAAGATGTACCTCCATTCTCGACGTTTGCCACAATGCGAAGAGATCACATAATAGCAGATTCCATACCGGGTCCTGAGAGTTGTGTGTAATTAGCTAATAATAAACCTGTGATACAGTTATGCCAACTGTCTAGTAATTGTAAATGTCTGATTATATAACAATCGAGGACTGGCGAGCTTAAACGTATTTCTTAAGTTTTTACTAAAAAAAATAATCAACGAATGAGAAGTATTCCTAATTTATAATTAGTGATGTAACTATAGATGGTAAAGTTTAGTTACCTTATCAACGACGACGACGTGTACCGACCCACCAGAGATGAAGATCCTTTGGATTTTTTACGAAAGAATAGTTAATGTAATGTTACGTATCTAAACGAAGGTTTAATGTAATTATCATCCGGTGCAGCATGTGATGCTCATAAATATTTATTAGATTTTATGGAGTGAAACTCTCTAAGACTGTTCTCGAACTAATTGCGATTTGCAAGCATGTGTAAAATACTGCCTTGTAAATGAAATTGTACATAGATAGTTGACTTTGTGTGTGCGTATGAGCTTATTATTGCTGTGCAATAATGATATTTTTAATATGTTCGGATGGTGTCATCTTGAACGTCTGATGTGTCATGTTTGAATGTATAGTCTATTCTTATTGGTTTGTATGGTCTGCTTTGTGTATATAATTATTGAAACCTAACTCCATAAATAAATTTATGTCAGTTTGAGAGTGCGAGGTTTAAATTTTGAGACAGGCTCACAAATAAAACCATGAAATGTGCTCTGTTGTGTGTATATAAAAACTGCAGGTAATGGGGCAAGTTGTGTCGGTATCCACAAGAAATCCCACGTTGGTGGTTTGTAGGTCAATCAAATAAATATATATCGAGCAATTAATTTCCAGCTGAAAATCCTTTTAATGCCATGATTTGGTCCTAAAATCGTCCTACTGGCTCTTGGAAGAAATTTAGAGCAGATATTGTACATGCCATTACTTTGTAAATAAAATTTCTCGACTGTAAACTTTGAAACAATCTTTTGATAGTAACGCCTAGACACAATTTCTCAGGTTAATGGACCTATCACCCAGGTTTTGTTAGCATTCGCCGTTTGTTATTGGTGTGGTGGTAAAATGTCGTTTTATTTGCTCGACTGGTGTGAAAAAGTTGTTGGAATAAAGGTGAAAAGAATATCTTGATAAGTTCTTTTTTAGTAACACTTTCTGCTAAAAATGCCTCGCATTTTAAGACTCGACTCGTTTAATTTCGTTTGTTTTGTTGCTTTTATTAGAGGAGCCTATCATAAAAATTTCGATCAAATTGCTTCACAAATAAGGAAGTTTCTTATTGAGCATTTATTGTTTCGCCTTGTACATTAAACCACCAACCGTAGACCTCGCTCGTCTGGTCTAGCACTATTACTAAAATGTGCATTGAGACCAGCGTCGATAGACGAGACCAACGTCAAAAAGAACTACTTTTCGAACAGCCCCCTGAGTAGTAGTCGCGGCGCCCATGACTGTCGAAGACACCGACCTTCCCAATATACACCGGTCATCACTAAGTGAGGGTTTAGTACTAGCTAATGTAATTACGGGAATTCCATTATTCAGGACGGTTACCCGTTTAGGTGGTATAATAAGATAACCCAGCTCCGCAATTCAGCGGAACTCAAGTTCTCGTCGAGACGATTTGGTGTTCTTTCTATGAGGAGAAGGATCTGGGGTTGTTCTCGGAGCGAAGAATATCCCCAATTTGCTTGTGATTCTTGTTTATATACTTTAATCAATGAGTGAGGCAGGAATATATGTGCGATCAAGGTTTTGTATGACCTGGTCCTGTCCTCTCCTGAACAAATTTTAAATATTGCATTTCATTACGACGCGACGGTGTATGATTCTAAAAGTCTCGAATATATTTTGCAAGTCAAAAAATTGTATTATATTCCGTCGCAAGAGAAACTCTCCGGAACTTAGGAGAAGTATATTTCTAGAGATGGTGGTTTTTGATGGTACCAGGATCCTTTTTTGTAGCTGCACGGAACGCAGATTCTTACCTCGAGTTTGGATCGCACCCAACTCATCGCCACGTAGTTGTCCGTGATTTTATATCGACTTTGTCGACTGGTTGACCTTACGCCTTGTAGATAGTCTGAAGTGCAAACCCGTAAGTGAACGGTAAATTGACAGAACGCAGGTTTTTCCGCAATGTGGTCCTACAGCTATTCTGCAATGCAGCCAATTGTGGCCCATATCGGTTAGGATCAGACGGGTACCGTTTCAGCTATGTGTTTCTCGGCAGTATCACCCAGCAGTTCAACTCAACTTGAGGACAAGACGATGAGGAGGAAAACCCCAAGGATTTTCGTTCAGATAGACATCTTGAACGGAGGCGTGTACCTCGAGTATCGCATTATCCACCAGCGATTTGTCGGTTGAGGAATATCCTCTCTTCGCCGGGCGAATCGTTCAAGATCTTGTGATTTAGCTGTCTAAAGTAGAATCAACCTGTTGGCCACTTCTTCGACGTTAATTAGAGCGCTTCGTCTGGAACGTATTTTATCAGATCTTCATCGCTGTCGGCGAGCATTTTGGACGTAATGCGAACGTTCGCTACCATCCGCGCTTTTGCCTATTCGCACCCGTAGACCCATGTTTTTCGTCAATTCGATTTATTCGAACGAAGCGCAGAGTTCGGAATTTTAGATCGTGTCAATCACTGTGTGTGTGTGTGGCTACGGACAGGAGTTGTCTCCAGTCGCCGTCTATCGACACTACCTTTCCGCCAAAGTGAAGTTGGATGGTTGTTCGGTTGCGGTCTGTTTGCACAATTCTGAAGAGGTTTCTGTGCAACATACCGTTATGACCGCGTCAATGATTCGCTTTATTCGTCGCTTAGTCGTTGATATAATGGCAAATTCACGTAGTTTCCGACGGTTTCGGGTGGTAGAGCTACCATCGGATCAAATTGATCTTCGTCATCCAAGGCTCAATGGTAACCGAAGAAGAAATCTCTTTCGTCGTTGTGATCAGAATTGTAATCGAACGGCATCGGTATTAGATAATCGAAGTTTCTTTTCCATCGACGGCCCAACCGACGATTTAATATGTATTGCTGAACCTTCTCGCGATCGTCATTTTCGCGTAAATTTCTGGTGTCGCACATCAACGAAAGGAATTAGTTCCAAAGCGCCAACCGCGAATCGGATACGTAACGCAAGAATAGTATCTGCAAAAAGCACTCGTCATGAAACCTCTTAATTAATAAGAAACGATAAAATATGCATAAAACATGTAAAAGTGTTAACCGGTAAAGTTAAGTCCAAGCTTTAACTATTGACACTTAATCTGGAACTAGATTCAAGGTTGTAACACCTTCTAATTACGATCATCATGGCTAAATTCAAGACCTCCTTGAGATCTATATTTAATGGTCGTGTATTCTGTTAAGTATAGGCCAGTTGTTCAATGCTGAATCAACTAATAGGCCTTTCATAATAATAATAATATATTTTATTTCCCATCTAACAGCAGAGCCTAATTACAGATGAGAAAGTGAATATAAATACTGTAAATAAATCTAGTATACACAGAAAACAGATAGAAATATCGCGCACGTTGCAGTTGAAGATATCAACATGTCGATTAACCGATTCAAGACAAGCACACATACGCAATATCAGTGACGTACACAAGGATTGTTTATAAACAAACAGGTTGTTCCTCCTGAGATGTTTTTGAGGCACATGAAAACCAATGCGCGCTAAGAGTGCAGGCGAGTCAATTTTGTTAATGATCAAGTTGTAAATAAACCTTGCTTGATGAAATTCCCTACGACGTTCAAGAGCTCCAATATCACCCTCGAGAAGCAGAGAGCCATAATCTACACCTCTCACTGGGAATGCACCGTGGCGTAAATATAGTAAATATTTGAGGTAACGTCTTTGAATGTTTTCAAGTTTAATTTTATAGGTGATGTAAATTGGCTACCAGACCACAGAAGCATACCCAAGTTTAGTGCGTACGAGTGTATTATATAGTGTCTTCAGAGCATCTTCAGATTTCAGCTCTCTTGAATTCCTAAAAATAAAGTCTAAGAGCTTCAACGCCTCAGAACAAATGGTGGTAATGTGGGTATTAAAGTTCAGTTTAGAATCAAACGTTAGGCCAAGGTCCTTAATCATCACACAACGTTTAAGCGAACAATTATTTATAACATAATTATGCAATTGCGTAACCTGCTTACGATAGAACGACATCACACTACACTTATCCACATTAAGATTTAATTTGTTAGACAGCGACCAATTGACGAGTAAGTTTAACTTATACTGCAGATCACGTGCATCACTCAAAGTCTCAATTTTATTAAATATTTTTATGTCATCCGTTTAACCAACGGCACAATCATCCTAGAAGTAGACAATTGCGGTATCAATGAGATATTTTGGGAAAAGTGCTAATCTAAGCATCTTCGCCACGTCGCGATGAACGCGTAATCTGCAATATGTCCTCGGAATTCCATCTCATCTGGTCTCAGTGCAATGACTACCTTACGACGGTGGACGACGAAATCAAAATCTGTATTTAGGCTACTGACCTTATCCAAGTCAGGTAATCCAAGTTCGATATATACAGGGTGGTCACCATAAAGGCGGGTAAACTTCAATGCTGGAAACGGGCGCTTCGTTACAAGTGTGGCCACATGGTCCACGTCGGCCATGTTTTTTCCAAATGTATCATATTGAGTTGGTAGATTTTGCTATGGTTGCAATAATATTGTCACAATTATTTCCAGCGCGATGGCTTTGTCCCCTTGGTTTCAAGGTTAATTTCTACCAATCCGATGTAAATGGTTGAAACATGGCGGATCTCCTAACTACACAACACCGGTGTATGACCACAATATTCTTTAGGCGCCATCTACTGGAATTTTTCTAAATCAATGCTAGACAGATTACTAATAATAATCTATATACACCATCTCTGATCACTCATTACTTGCACTTTCAAATTTGGTGTTTTCGATGTTAAAGTCCTTATGGACATTCCATGCCTTAACGAGAATACAAACATGAAATAATTTTTTTTCTATACCCTGTGTAAAATGACACGATTTTCACCTGCATATGCGGGGCTAAAGTGGCTCAATGACGTCACGCAAATTAGGAATGAACAACTTTAACAGCCAATCACAAATTACCTTTGAAATATCAAAATTGTCAAACATCAATTTGATCTTGAACGTAATACCTATAAACGAAACATTTCATTTCGGAAAATGTCATTATATAAATCATTCTTTAAAGAAATCATAAGGAAACTGATTATTATTAATTGAAAACATTTCTATTGAATTTGCAGCAGCAATTTCCATTCCTTTGGAAGGTATCTCCCTGAAAACCTGCTGAATGTGTGCTCAGTGAATAATGGATTTTGAAATCCTAAATGTGTTGCAACCGATTTGGGAATTTTATAAAATGAATTCTTTCCCACTTCCATGACGATATGCATAAAAAAAGATTGTCGCTAGTCATAGTTGGACATAGAGCCTTATACTCTATATATTACTTTAAGTAGTTGGCAAGAACCACACATTGTCGTGCCCACATTATTTTCGGTTTCTTATCTTTTAACCATGATGGACTCTGCCGATTAAATAACTTGGATTGCAATAGGAGGGTGGTCAATTCAAACATACACAGGCCTCACGTTCCGTGCCTTTGTAGTCCCTTAGAGTTGACCAACCCACATCACTCAAGCCATCGTACACCTGAAGTAAACCTGAGGGTGCCGGAATGGAATGCGGCTGTCATGTCCAGCATGGATCCCTAACAGGGATTGTGTCAGTTGCTCAAATAAGTAAGGGACACTCACATTAACACTGGTATGCATCTTGTCATCTATGTAACATACTTTACAAGATGCTGATTCTACCAAGCCCATGTGGTGAGTGTGTTTGTTTAGTTTACAGTACCGAGAGAGTATGCTTGATCTTAGGATCAAGTTCCACACAGCCATGTATTGGGCTTGGATGTCTGTTACCTCCATTTACAGTATAGCTAATGCGAGAGCTAATGTAAATATAACTTAATAACTCAAGATACCAAAGCCAAGTTGCAAGGCTAGATGGAACTTGTTAGATTGTCGTCATGCAAGAGAGGCCTTCAGAGAAGCATCGCTGTTGGATTCATATATCAAGAAAAAACTTGCGACAACTTGTGGGCATACTCGACACTATAAACTAAACCAGCACATGCACAGCATGGTTATAGAAAAAAAAATTATTTATTTATAATATTGAATGTACAATTACTGAATTTGCTGCTGTCATTATTGCTTGTGGTAATTTCTATCGAATTCCCAGCAGCAACCTCTGTAAGTCTGGATGGCATCTCGATTGGGACAGGAGCAGAATCTACAACACTGGTTGAGCAACTTGGCATTGGAGTGTTTGAAGTGAGCAACTTCTTGGCGATTTCATGTCGATAGGAACCTGACTCGTCGACATAGCTCTCGGCAATAGAGGAAGACTTCCACCCGCCGTGCTTCTTTAATGTTAATAGGTCTCCACCGGACTCAACAAGAATAGTTGCGGAAGACCTGCGAAACGTATGGCCTGTGAACAATTTGGGATTTTCAAGACCTAAATATGTTGCCACCAATTCGGGAATTTTGTAAAATTTATTCTTTCCAACGACTTGATTAACACATTTTCCATTACGATACGCATAAAAAAACCGATTGTCGCTGGTTACGGTTGGACGTAGAGACATATATTTTTGGCAATATTTTACGTAGTTACCGAGAACCACAAATTGTCTTTGTACATTATTTTTAGTTTGATGTATGCGAACCAGAATAGAGTCTTCTGATGGAATGACATCATCAATCTTCAATGTACTCAATTCTTGAGCTCTGCATGCCCCTCCAATTCCAAATATCAAAATCACCTATGTAAAAAAATATCAATTATGTGTAGTTATATAAGTAATGTGCAACTTACTTTTGCAAGCAAATGCATCTCATCCGATGCATCGTTTAAAAAGGTGTTTACGTTGGCTTTACTAAATACTTGTGATTTTTTAGGCTTAAAGCCTTTTGAATTTTGTTTTAGAAAGGCAATTAATTTTAAGTACTTAGAAATATCAGTATTATTATTAATGTTTATGGTAGTTTTTACCATGGAATAATGTGACCACACAGTGGATGGTTTCATTTTTTTGACACCTCCAGGAAATATGCAAGCATTACCCTCTCCGAAAATGAATTGAATTTCTTTTGGGCTTGCCAGTCTATAAACTTTTGATAGGCTCCTTCGTATAATTTTTTCGACTTGGCAGGTAAGAGTTTTAAATTTGCCTCGTTTGTGGCGTCTATTACATTAGGTGGAGTACCGGAAACACTACATTCACTATCACTGTCCATTTTTAAAGTTTAAGATTGATGGTTTTTGAAAATTCAATTATTGGTAGCTGTCTAACAACGCCATCTATGTTTTGTCTACCACTTCGATGTTTTGCGTTTTTATTTCCCTTGCAGTCGCTGTGTATGGATTCAAATTTAAAAAAAAGACTCCAACCTCAGAGCTTTATTGTAAAAAAGTTACATCGCAAAAGTACTAATTAAATTTCTTAAGCAATACATGAGAGATCAATTCACCGATTCGTCAAGTAGGATGAAAACATTGGAAGCCCCGAAAACCTCGAGGGTATGAAAAAACGAAGCTTTACAGCAGCGTAAGAACACCATAAAACAGTGGTACAAATCGGAAGAATTAACGTTACAAACTTTTCTGAAAGCTCGGGTGTAGTTTACCTTTTACACTTTGACGAACGTTTTTATAAACTACAATTTGTACTACATGTGTGTTCGTTTCTATTAGTAAGGTACATGTTTCAATTATGTATAAGTACAGTATACTTTGCAATAAAAAGGTCCCATTTACACATTTCTAGTAGCACTTGTGTTCCACATTACTTTGTATGAATAGTAATACTCCCAGTAACTTAATGACCATTTTGTATAATTCCATTACAATAATATTACCATCTTATTGATATCTTGATTATAAAGAGATAAACAGGGCAGCCAGTTCCATGCAATGCAAATTATGTAACCTAGAAATTGAATGGTCTAATTATTAATTATGATTGTTGCAGCAACTTACAGTTGTTATAACACAACAATTACTCTTCTGTTTTTATAATTTGGCTCCTTAATTAATGTTGAAAAATGCATATTGTACCTAGTTACTTATAACCATTATATACAATGTTATAAACTAACTTTTTAATTTTAATGTGCATTGTGCACGATTTACGAATATGAAAACGAATAGCGAATACCACAGCTAGAAGCAACGCACAGAGCGAACCTGCTCGGCAACTCGATTAACCTCGAGCGAGAGCGATGGGTAAGCTAGCTTTCCTTATAAACGCACGTGCTTTGTGTTTTGCGTATCTAAATGGCGGTGTCGACAATAGATTACTGTTTTTATAGTAATGATTATTTTGAGGGGTATAAAAAAAATAGTGTATTATACACGGGGAAATTTTAGCGCTCACATAATTACCTCCCTCCGCTACGCGTCGGGAGACAATCCTTATGCTCGCGCTAAAAACGCTCACTTTTCCCCCTTGTATAATAAATAACTATTAATTTCTGATCGAATGACACCAATACCAAGTTTTTTTCTCATATAAATAAACGTTTAATGAAAATAATAGAACAGGAACAAATTACATATAAGAACGGGGTTTTAAAACAATAAATTTCGTCAAAAGAATTACAAAAAAAAGGTAAAGTTCCTAAAATACATTCGGCATTGCCTTTTTGAATTTCTATACTGATTCGCTGGTAAATAAAATGGGTTGAGCGGGACTCTCCTGTTTTTTGCCTGAGTCTTTTACCAATTGCCGCTGTCATGATTTTGGCTTCATTTCCGCACGGACCCATGGTTTCTACAGCGAATCCATTAAAAATAAATGTAGGTTCTAAGGCAGCGTAAGTATTTTTCTTCTTGCATGAACATAAAAGAACTACAGTACAAAAAACAAAGAAACGAAACATCATAATTGAATATCAAATGCACATGCTAAAGGCGCAGTTCACAGGGATCAATTACTTGCTGCGCTGTGCTCTTCCACTCTTCCGGTGTAGTTCTGGAACCTTTGTGACTCAGACAGACAAACAGATAGACATCAAGAGCACAAAAGTGCACTTTTTATTTTTTGAAAGTGAGTGCACGAAAAATCGGTGCGAGGTTGAGGGAATATAGTTTCTGAGAGCCTCATCAGTTGCACGCGAACTGTGTGCGTTGTTGTGTTGCAAGATTATTAGCGCCATGGCCCATGCTGCCTCTAACACGACAAGCTTGACAAAAACAGCCTTTAAACGACGATCTGACTTGGCAAAGCGGAATAAGTATGTGTAATTAGAACATGTTTTGTGTCAAAAACTTGTTTACATCTAAGCGATGTTCTTATTAGGTAGAGGAAAGGATGCAAATATGGGCTACCCATTTTATTTTTGCTTATAAAAAAAAAATAAACATTCTATTTTAATTCCAAAGGTACCTAAGGATAACTATATTAATTAGTTACAACATATCCTAAGTGCAGATTGATTAAAGAAAAATAAATATTCACTAATGCGAAAATAATGAAAAATTGAATTTTTGCGACTTTTGAATAATGGTCCTAAATATGGGCTACCCCGAAAAATGCGTAATAAATGTGTGAAAAAAAGAGATTTTTATTTTTTTTTTATTTAGGAAAACATTACTTACAAAAATCACAAACATACTCGTCTGTTTCGGCCCCAGCGCACTCGTTATGGGCCCACAAATTGCACATGAGGCACTTGATCCATATCTCACCCTGGTTATCATCTGCAAAAGGTGCTTCGCAAAACATACAGGTCACGTCAGCTGCGTCTTGTGGAGACTGGGTATTAGGAAACTCATTGTAATCACTATCATCATCTGCAGGCACATATTCCTCCTCTTCCTCGGTACTAGAATCAGATTCCTTCTTTTTGTTCTTTGTGGCTTTTGTAACTTGCTTATGTTTTCCTTTTTTTATTCCTTTTCCTTTTCTGTTTTCTTTGTCTTCTTCTGTACCTTTTTGTTTCCCTTTGACTTTGTTGAGCGACTGGATCAATTCATTTTTGTACGGTGAAGCGGTTATTACTGAACACTTTTAGCGTACCCATTTCATGCTGCCTGACAGCTATTATCGCACGTTCCATATCTTTTTCATCCCATTGTTTTCTTTTTTTCGCTTCTTTCAGCTCTTGTCTTGACATCCTGAAGTAATTCAAGTGCATTTTACATGTATCTAAATATGGGCCACTAGCCCATAATCAAAACCGAAGCATAGCCCATATTGCAAACATGCTCGCGCTACACAACAAACGAGGTTATTTTTAAAAGTTGTCAATTTGAAGAAAACTAATTAGCATACATCAAAGGCTGATTATAGGGCTTCAATGTGACGCAGACGTTTTTTTGACATTATTGTTTATTTTCAAGTACTAGAATTTATAAACTTACCCGAAAAAGTTTTGACACTCACAGTAACTGACAAACATTTATTATAAAGTGTGAAACATCTACCACTGTGGCGCCATCGCTACGGTGACAATTTTACTTCACCAATTACCGTTTGCAATAGTCAGATGAAGAAATCTGCATCGAATAGCTGAGAAACTTATCTAGCCCATATTACAAGACCAGCCCATATTTGCACCCTTTCCTCTAATTTTATAAGACTTGCCTAAAATAAAATGTGCACACTAAAATATTGTCATAACCTTAATTTTATGAGTTTATGACCAGGGTTACCATGTTGTTCCCATATCTTGTAAAATAAGAAAAATGAATGTTAGATATCTGAGATTACATTTATTCCATATCACTTGTCCGGAGACAGGGACAGGAAAAATAAAATCTGATCTAGCGATGTCAAACTGTGCCGCCTATTTCGACGTTTGAAGGAAAAATGGCTTTTTCGAGATTTCTATGACCTCCTCAAGTTAATTTATAAAAAAAATTGATAACCTGTACGATAATGAGTAAGTAATTAGCTGGGAGTAGTCACCACGTATAAAAAACCATAAATGTTTCTAATAAAACAATAATAATTTCAATTCAATCCCAATATAAAATGCAACACGCTGCGCCATCCATCCATCAATCTGTAAAACTAAGTTATAGAAAATGATCTCCATACATGAACCAAAAAGAACACTTTCCCATTGAAATCTTGTTCTGTAGGAGAGAAACTATGATGCTTCATAATCGAAGTACAACAAATAATTCAGAAATGGTATTCAGTGTGACACCTTTCGGTACTTTTACAAACTTCGCGTAACAGTTTTCTCTGTAATTATTCACTGTGCAGAATGCTTGCAAATCGGCGCGACAAACCAGCTGTATAAGAAAACGTTCGATACTGGGTTTGTTAACCGCCTTAATACAGTAGAGGCCCCTCAACTGTTGTTTCTGCAATTAAAAATTGATAAAAATATTTAATAAGAGCAGAGCACAGTTTTTGTTACGATATCACATTCATTTTTGTAAGAACAAATCTTACAAATGCAGAGTATGTGAAATTTCCCAAAAGATTTCGTAAGAATTGCGGTTTAGCAAATGTTCGCTATAACGGGAAATTGCGATGGAATTAAAGTGTGGATTGTGTATTACAGTACAGTTTCAGGTTGTAGTAAAGCACCTAAACGGGCTCAGTATATCCATACAATAAATTCCTTATGCATACAAAACCCCTTTAAATTTTAAACGTTGAATTTTAGTAAATTGGTATCTTTGTCGTACATTAATAATTATTCCAAATGAGTTTCCTTGTTGCTCGATCATCACTTTGGGACGTGTAATTTATTCGTAAATTGGATGTCATCCTTCACTTATATTAATAATTGAAAATTTTGCAAAGATTTGTTTAAAAAGTTAACACAACTGGAAGATATTGGGAAAGTGACCTGTTGTGACGCAATGTCCTGCAAAGCTACATATTACATTTTCCCATCGCTTAAAGTACCGGGTGGCCAAATAAGAATGCCCGCCGGCCAAATCTTAGAAACTAAACTCCGTTTCAGATGTCCGTGCAGTAAAGGAATGTGCATATACTTACCAAAAAATGTTAGAGCCGCGACGCAATTTCCTTTTGAAAACCAGTATTTAAAAGCGCACAAATACGAAAAGGCGGAAACCCCGCCCACTCATAAATAAAGGCAAAATAATATAAAATCTAAAATAAACAATAGTTAATGAGCTTATAGTGGTTTTATTTACATGTTTAAAATGTGCACGGGTAAAACAATTACTCATGCACATTAAGTACAAATTATTAAGAATGCGTTCCAGAAATGTATGCAATTAAACCAAGTGTAATTACCATGTATAATCATTACTCTTTATTATTAAAATGTATATAGATATCATAAATGTAGTAATAGAAACGTATTAGATCCTAAAGTATGTTGAAATGGTGCGCTACTGGAATATAGCCGCAGGCGCATTCTTTTACTGCACGGCATTCTGTATAAAAGATATTACCTATAGCGGAGTTGTTAATCCTGACATAAAACCATTCTCTTTTTGTTTACTTTTTTTTTCCTGTCTTTTTGAAATAAAGTAGTAGGGGAAAATCAAATGTTTGTTTAAATAAATTGATTTCCTCAAGTTTAACTTAACCCGCTTTTAGCAAAAAAGGAGATTTATTTGGCTTACCAACAGCCTATACCTTATACCTGTAATTATTACGGTCGTCACTAGAGGCATTAACTGCAATTTACACTGTGATTTTTCTTGAAAAAATTAAATGAGATTTTTACATGATATAAAATAGAAATTATTACTCGATATTTAGATATATGAATTCTTTGGTCTTCGGTAACGATTACAACTACATATAACATAGATTTTGGGAAAAACAAGATCAGAAAAAAATTAAAAATTATATATCTCTTGCTTAAAATTAGGAGATACTTTACAAAACTTTGGAAGAAAAGTAATCTTATAATAATTAAAAAACCAGGGGAAGGGAAAGATCCGTTAAATATTAAAAGATATAGGCCAATTATGTTATTACGTGGTTCAGGTAAGATTAGAAAACTTGTTAAATGATCGAATCAACTACTATTTGGAAAAAAACAAAATCTTTCAAACAAACAATATGGGTTTAGGGAAGGAAAATCAACGTAGGATGCTATTTTAGATTTAGTTGAGAAAGTTGAAAAGTCACAAAAAAGGTATGTGTTAGGAATTTCTGTAGACATAGCGGGTGCTTTTGATAATGTATGGTGGCCGGCAATTATAACTGAATTAGAAAAAAATTAAATGTGAAATTTGAATACAAAATGTAATTAAAAGCTATTTTAACTGGTAGAATAACGGTATATGGCAATAATATGTTTTTGTACTCCGTGGACGAAATCAACGTGTTTTGTCATTCATTTAAGGGACTAAAGTGCAATTTTTTCTCCCGGACAAAAAGTGACAGTACACACTGAATTGTCAAACACAATTTAATGATTAATGGTTACCTGTATTGTACATATTTATTCTTGCACCATATTTTACACTTATTATACCGTTTTCCATATATCTTTTTGAATTTGGAAGGCAGTAGATTTCCTTATAGCTTGTTCTTCAGAGTTTTAAACGATCATTTGTACGCCGTAGTTTTAAACTAGAATCTTTAAATCAAACTGACATTTATCGTTATACGGTCACAATTTGACATTACCAGGTATATTGCTCCTACAGGAATGTACGCCAACGACACCAGTGACGCCATCTAGTGGTGGACAACGCAGAAAGCAAATCCTCCAACCACGGGTAGATTTCTCATTACCAACTGAAAAATGAACGCGGGCTTTTAGCGCGTCTAGCGAGAAGTTAGTTCGTTGTAGTGGAATTTACATTTTTACTAGTTGTATTTTTTGACACATGACATTTTTACTTACTTGATGTTTGTTGCTGAATTAATAAAAGTGGTACGAAATTTGTATTTATTCAAAATATAAACAAAAAGCTGATTTATCATCAGTCTTCTATGCGGAACAATATGCCGTATGGCAAGCGCTGAAGTACTGTGATATGGCACTGGGTTATCGACACTTCTGCATTGTAACAGACTCCTTGTCCGTTATAAAATCGATAGTAAACTGTGACAATGATACGATAACACAATGGTGTCATTCATCTATCGTATACTTAGAAGTACCTTATTATGGGTTCCCAGTCATGTGGGCATACAGGGTAATGAGGAAGCTGACAAGGTAACCCTGGAAGCAACCAAACAGGATGCGATCGATTGTACCTAAAATAAAACACAAAGATCTGAAAAATAAATATAATCGTGTAACTGTTTCCAAATGGCAAGATGATTGGGATATGTGTAATACTCACCTTAAAAACATCAAACCTACTTTGGCACGTAAACCAAATGGTTTTATTGTCAAATAATATATACAATATATACAAGCGGCTCGGATCGTAGGCGAAGCGTGGTTTCAGCGGGTCTGAGCTGGCGGATCGATCGGGGAGTAATGGTCAGCTGTAGACGGAGCGGGAGTCGAGGTCGCGTTCGGCTGAAGGCGGCTGGAGCTGTTGAAGATCTCGTAGCGCGGATGCCACTGCTCTCTGCTCGCAGGAACGCCGCTTATAAAGGATTCCGACTCGCGTCGTGTGCTGTCATTGGCCGGTACGTTTCGCCAATGCGATGGGCGCTAGGGCTCACTACGGAACAAGCCGGCACACGCTCGCCACACTACTCCCCCTCCAGTGCAGCGGTATGAAAATTGGCAAACTTGCCAGGAAATCTGATGCGTCGTCCGGATTTAGTCGTCGTTGTTTGATGAGGCGCAGCCGGGGATTCTGGAGGAGCTGAAGGTTTATGAGGTGGCGTGGGTGTATGATGAGGTGATGTAGGCTGCACGTCGTTGTTAGAAGTAAATGCTGGCTTGAGGCGGTCTATGGATACTTTGTCCTTGCGGCCGTTTTGGTCAACATGGAAAAATTTCTCGTGTCTTGAGATAACAGCAAATGGCCCCTCGTAAAACGGTTGGAGCGATTTTAATAAGCCTTCTTTTCGTACGAAGACGTGAGAGCAAGAATGTAGCTCCGGATGGACGAAGATTTTGGGTTGCCCGTGTAGTCTAGCTTGGGATGGCCGGAACTGCTCGAAGTGTGATCGAAGTTGCTGGGCGAAATCGGTAGTGTCGCTATCGGTGCGTTGTGAGCTGCCTGCGAATAATTCTCCTGGAAGGCGGAGTGCGGTGCCAAAGACGAGGGCGGCAGGTGCGAAACCAGAGTCGTCTGCAGGTGCTGAACGAAGACCGAGGAGTATAATTGGTAACACTTCTACCCAACGCTCTGTTCTGTAGCACTTGATGGCTGCTTTCAGGGTTCGATGCAAGCGTTCCACCTTACCATTAGCTTGTGGGTGGTAAGCCGTAGTACGAAGGTGTTTGATACCTAGCATCCTGTTGATTTCCGCGAACAGGGTAGATTCGAATTGTCGGCCTCTGTCTGTCGTGATCTTTTCGGGAATTCCGAATCTTGCAACCCATTCGCTTATGAATTTTCTGGCGACCGATTCAGCGGTGATATCGGAAAGGGGAATAACCTCTGGCCATGCCGTATAACGATCAATGAGAGTAAGCGCGTACGTGTACCCGAGGTTTGGTGGTAGCGGGCCAACTAAGTCCAAATGCACATGGTTGAAGCGTAGAGATTCCACTGTAAATTGGCCTGGGGGTGATAGGGTGTGGCGGTGCAC